TCTCACATGATAAAAATGATTTTACGTTGGTTAAATTTGCAAAAATCTTGACGATTTGAATTAGTGTTGTCTAACACTATTTACCCAGTAGGCTACTGGCGTCTCTCTGTTGCTGTACTGGTTGCTGAGGTGATGTCATCGTGATTTGTGTATGGTGCACAAAGTGGTGCCCAAACAGTTTCTGTTTTGATTTGTGTTAGCTATATAGAATATAGAATATAGGAAAAATAAATAATATATGTTCATGTGTATTATGTTTGAAAAAATTATAAATAAAACTGCGAAATGCTATTAGTGTTTTTTTAATTTCTGCCAACAAAAATATTTGCGACAGTCCCCCTTCACGATAGATCAGAGGCTAGATCAACTAAACGATAAACAATGTTGGGCAGACCAGTTCAATTCAGTGCATCGGAAAGAAAACGAAGGAGAAAAAAGCGGAAAGAAGATTATATGAGAAACTCCCCCCTTAAGTTTACAAGGAATTTCCATGGCTGCCACAATAATTTTGCCAATGCCTCGTTTACCGCAGATGTTCGCTATATCGGCTAGCTGCGTCTGGGCGCCACACAAGAGTTTCGAATTAATGGCGGTTGTGTTTGTTTCGAGCGTTTGGTTACATCAAATGCACCGGCAAATTAGGGAGTATAAAGAAGGTATATCAGCATGAAAAGTAAACAGAAACGCTAATTGTATTTTCAGTTATTTTATTAGTTATGCCTCTTTATTCGCTAAAATTTCCAATTCTAACACACAACTTGATTTTTAAGCAGTTTTTTCCAGTTTTCTCGGTAAATATGAAAATTAAAAAAAAATCCAGATGCACTATTTTGGTCCATATTGTGCTTAACATGTGGCAAAAATTTTGTATCCTCACTCTTTCTGGTAGTTGAGAAATATCCAAAATATCATTTTTACATAAATATTCAAAATTTGTGTGGTAACATAATTAGGTGCTGGAAATTTCATGAAATTTTTTGGCTTGAGCATAGAGATATATCTTCTCTATAAATAAAACAAGTGATTGATTCGATTCATTCGCCAATAAACGTTTAATCTTCACTAGAGCAATACCCGTGTAAAAGGTGGAGAGTATCCTTAAGTATTATATTATTACTATTAGTATTACTAATTGTTTTCGTCGTGTTTATTCGTGACACTGACAGGATTCATAATTGCTGCATTATCAATATCATTATGATTTCATGTCATGGCCATGGTATAGCTCCAAGAAACGGTATGGCTAGGGTTAGAATAGACAATCCGTCGTATACAATCCAATGGCAATGTATAGACAATCCGTCGCATAGACTGGTCGGGCTAGGCCGTGGCACTGGTACTGGTAGTGAGTTAGCGGTAGTCTCCCGGGGGGGGGGGTGATCACTCACTGACTCATGATATTACTTGGTACGCATGCTCGTCAGAGAAAATGTCGAAATAGGGTCGGATTATTACCATGTAACGTCGATGACGACTAAAAATAGACCATTCGATTCGTTCATTTATTTCCGTGTTTACATTCTCAAAATGATTCTCCCGGTCCCGGATTTTCCAGTCTTAACGTCAGACTGATGGGCGTAAAATTCAAGTATTCGCAGTATACGTGAAATTGGCCACTTACAAGTCTGGGCACGATACTACGGGTTTACACAAATTTTTCGCTAGTGTCTTACGCCAATAAGGGGTGAAATTTGCCAAGACGCACCTTAGTGACTTAGGGTCCAATTTTGAGATGCTTTGACGAGCATGCGTACCAAGTAATAGCCTGACTGACCCCCCCCCCCGGGGGTAGTCTCGGTGTTATTTTAATTTATGTATTAAGTGAAAGTTACGATATATGTTACGATGATGTTACGAAAATTAAGGATAACAACGAACGAAATAATACAGCAATGGAATGTCTGTAGCAAAATTAAGCCCATGACAGTGCATGAAAGAACTGGCAGCCCTTGGATAAAGCTGGGCACAGAATGTGTTCAGAAGTGGCCAGAGAAACTATCTCACCATATTTGACTATTACAGCCGCTATCCAGTGGTGTAGCTCTTGGAGTCCACCACTATCAGAGCAGTTATTGCTGCAAGGAAAGCCAAAATCTGCTTTTTAGGAGTGCCCCCTGAAATCATGTCAGATATTGGTCCACAGAGAGAATACAGACTTTTGTGAAACGATGAATAAATGACTAGCAGTTTTAGATATCTCCAATTCAACGGCGTTGTTAAAAGACAGAATGTTATTCTCTCAAAACTCAGTGTTTCACTAAGGTCGAACACTTCTTCACTGGCAAAATATATCAGTAGAAGTATCTTTTGTTAGTCCTCTGTGACGTTCTCAGCAACCAGATAGTTGTCGAAATGACGTGTCCATCGTCCACAATGGGCGCGTGCGTCTTCAGCTGGCTCCACAGTCAAATATGGCAATGTTTGTTCTTTCATAGCATAGAAATTACAGGAAAGTATTGTAGATATTTACTCAATGGTTTATCTCATCCCTAGTTATGTCGTGCATTGAAGCCACAGACCAGTTTTAAATGCACAGCGTAATACGGAATACTACCTCGAAAGAAATTTCATCCAACCAGAAAGCAACGTCATTAACGGGGTGCACGAAAAAACGAGGAAGCATAATATTGATGCACAATAAAATCACAAAACATACACACCTAACACAGATTTAAATGAATATGACTTGAACCTGTAACGATATTCTCTAACAAAATTCACAAGTGTGTAATAATTACTCTTTTTACAGACAGAACTTGAAACTGCCCTCAAGGAAGCAGGAGGAAAGTTGGTGGTCATAGATTTCTATGCAGATTGGTGTGGACCATGCAAGCAAATTGCTCCTAAAATTCTGGTAGGATAGTAAATAGTATAATCTTTTTATTGTATATTAACTGTTTTTCCCTTTTTAACTCTCAGGGAAGTGGTTATTGGTGACTAATGATTTTAACGTTACATTTACAAATAACAAGTTGGTGTCATCCCTTGCTTGGAATTTACATGGTTTTCAAGCATTTGCTTTGTAAGTCTCTACTAAAAAGCTGTGTTTTTAGTTTTGATGATTATTTTTTGCAGTGCATTCAAGATGTGAAGACAGAATTAAAACTAATAGTAATAGTATTAACTAAAATAATGACGATTTGTTTAAAAATGCTTAGTTATGAAGACATACGGGATAAGCTGTATTATCTGTTCTGATACTAAAATACTGGTGCAGCGCATGGAGCAAGAGAATGCACTGGTTCCTAGTTTTTGTGTCATCATAGTGGGAGATGTCAGGATAAGGAAGGGTTGATCACGGTTTGCAGTGCCAGTGCTATGGTAGGAATCACTGTGAACATATGAAGTGCTTATACACAGCATGCAATTTGAGATTATCTGATCATCAATAATTGGCATTCTTCAGGTAAACTTTCGTAAAACGTAATTCCGTCACTGCTGCTTTTTTTGTGAAAAAGGTCAAGTATGAAGAATCTGCAAAAATACGACCCTATAAATGTCTGCCAGCACATATATTATTGACACCATAGGTAGTAATGAACCAGATCAAACTTTACCAATGTCTCATGTAGATTAACAAGAAATTCTTTTGAAAGGGAAAAATTATGCCCAACTCTCAGAAGCAATTTTATTGCAGTATTTTTTTGCCCTAGTAGCCTTCCCCATAGAAGAGGTATCCAACTTCATATTTTGATGTGATAACAAGGGTACCATATGACCTTATGAAAATTTTGTTAATTAGGTGGAACTTAAGATTAATCATAGCATTTAAAATTATAGCAAAACGTTATCTGAATTGCAATTCTGTCACAGTTTAATTGCCCTTGTGATCGAACTTAATAGTTTCGTTCAACATCCCCTTAACAATGTCTTCCCATGCACATTTTTGTAACAAACCACTGTAAAAACATAAGTAAATAACTTGCTACACTTTAAAGGAATAATAGGTTCATTGATTATGCAATGTTGACGAATGCTAGAGTAGCTGGCACCTTGTGTAGTTAATAAGTACATTACTGTTAGGTTTTGTAAGAATCCATCATGTTAGGCAACGGAGGCTCAATTTCTATTTAGGTTCGAGGCAGGTCTACCACTGCCGCCACGCTTTATTTTCTACACTCGATTCAAAACAACAGAACATTGCAAAAGTTACAAAGATGACCACCCGATGGCAGCACGTCTCAATCCATAATAATACATGTCACAATATCTCACACTCCCCACCTTGGACAGTTAAGCTGTTCAACCAAATAAAAGAACTCAATCAAAATCTTCGAACATCAAAGGACTGTATAATAATCAGAATTCAAGTCGTCACTCTAAACAGCAAAACTACAAATCTAATGGAGTTATCAAGAATACACGTGATCTCACTAATTCTAAACAAACAGGCCAATCTAGTTATGGATCATATTAAACTGAAAGGAAAGTTTTAACACATATTGCTATCTTGCAATAACTAACGTCTATCTAAATTATCTTGTCCATGGAAGAGCTCAAGCTCACTATATAAATGACAGATTGAACACCATCACACTATAAACAATGTTCATATACAGTAGTACAGTATAAACAGTCACACTAATAGTTTAAGCCAGGACTTTCTCCTTTGGTCCGCAGCAATGGCAGTTGCTCTCCTTGGTCTTCTTTCTCTCGAGTCCTGATCGATAGGGTAGATCTCTGGACTATCTCCCCTAGCTGCTTCATCAGGAGCTTCAGCACAGATATCCGCACACACCTCTAGGGGATAAAGCCGTTGTAGTGGACGTCTTAGTGTAGTTATCTTCCCCTTTGCTGATTGCACTTTCACTACAGCTCCCCGCACCTTATTATCAGAGCCGGTTATCAACTCGATAACCTTTGCCAGTTTCCACAAGCAACGTGGTTGGTTCTCCTCATGTATGAGGACTATGTCACCGACACAAATCTTCTGAGGATGATCACATTTCTTCCCGTATCGGTGTCCCTCTCGTAGTTCTGCAAGGTACTCATTTTTCCAGCGACTCCAAGCATGATCTAGGGCTAGCTGGAGGTGTCTCCATCTGTTCGATAGTTCTAAATTGGTTACCCGTGGCTCTGTTGACATCTCTTCATGGCAGTCAGGGAAACGATTTAGCTTCTGTCCGTAGAGTAAGTGGGACGGAGTAAGGGGTTGCTCCAAATCACTGGTATCCAGGTAAGTAAGCGGTCGAGTATTGAACATGAGTTCAACTTCACATAGAGCTGTTTGGATCTCATCAACTGTAAGTTTAGCACCACCTACAGTTTTCTTCAGGCTCCTCTTCAATGTCTTAATCAGTCTCTCAAAGAAGCCTCCCCACCATGGGGCCTTCTCCAGATTGAACTTCCACTGGATCTGGTTGTTAGCGGCGTATGTCTTCACGGCCACATGATTCACGATCTTGGCGACTGTCTTAGCTGCCTTCCTAAAGGTTGTCGCATTGTCGCTCACGACCAAGGACGGGGTCCCTCGTCTCCCAATGAACCGTCTAAGACATCTCAGGAAGGCATCAGTGGTCAAATCGGTCACCATTTCAAGGTGGACTGCCCTTGTCACACAACAGGTGAAGAGACAGACCCAGACCTTACCTCCATCTTTCGTGTAGAGTGGTCCAGCGTAGTCGAGACCCGTCATCGTGAAGGGGGGTGCCTCGGTCACTCTGAATTCAGGTAATGGTGGTGACATCGGTGGTTTGTATGGCTGTCCATCAATTCTCTTACACAGTACGCACTTCATTATTAAGGATCTTACCATAGATCTCCCTTTGATTATCCAGTATTTGGATCTCAACTCTGTCAGGGTTGATTTTACCCCACTGTGGATCGTCCTCTCATGACAGTCTACGATAAGCAGCTTCGTAAACTCATGCTTCCTATTCAATAGGATGGGGTATTTCTGGGAATGAGGAGCACTCATCTTTTCCAGACGTCCCTTACATCTCAAGAGTCCTCGATCCTCAAAGAGGCCAAGTTGAGTTTTCCATGTTGGAAATAATGGATCATCCAACAGACTCCTCTGGGATTCCTTTATCCAACACTCCTCTGCTTCTTGTATGTCTCTCGCAGTGACATCTGCTGTCACTTGGCCCTTCCTCAGGCGTCTCACGAATTTCAACACAAGGGCCGTAACTCTCAGAAGTGATCTCCGTGTACTGAAGTCAGTAATATCCATAATGGTTCCAATTCTGGCAGGAAATTCATGTTCTGTGGTCAGCATGACCAGCTCTCTCTTCGCCTTCACCTTCATTTCGTCGAGGCACTCAATGGGTAGATCCATCTGTGACAGGTCATCCTCTTCAGGGAGGACATCGGGATTATCTGGGGTGTCACTCTGTTTTAGCCAGTAAGGACCATCAATCCAGGTAGAACACTGTGACAGTTCTTCTAGTGCCATGCCCCTTGAGGCGATATCGGCAGGATTCATCGAGCCTGGACAATGTCCCCAGGTGTCCACTGGTACAAGTTTACGTACTTCATTCGCTCTATTCTGGACGAATTGTTTCCATTCAGACTTCACTCCTTTTATCCATGCCAGAGCAACTCTAGAATCTGACCAGCAATATGTCTCATCAATAGTGATCTCAAACTTTAGTGCTTCCTTCACCGTTCTAATCAGTCTAGCAAGAACAAGTGCTGACAGGAGTTCTAGACGTGGGATTGTCATTCCGGACACAGGGGCTACTCGAGTCTTTGATACCAGGAATCTGATTGTCCTCGTGCTGTGTGACATCACTACAAGATAGATCACTGCCCCATAGGCCTTCGCTGAGGCATCACAAAATCCATGAATTTTGTACACTAACTCACAGTTCTGATGTAGACTCATAGGATAGTAGCAACGTGGTATGGTTATACTAGCTGCTCGTTGGAGGTCTTGCACTAGGTTATTCCACTTCACAAGTAAGGAATTTTCCAGCATGTCATCCCATCCGGATTTCATTTGACACAGCTCTTGGAACAGCATCTTGAACCTCAGGATAGCTGGTGCCACTATACCAAGTGGATCATAGAAGGTTGAGGCTAGTTTCACGACATTTCGTTTGGTTGGGATGACGTCCATTGCTTGTTTTGCAACAAGCACGAGATTGAACACCAACGTGTCCTCAATATGGTTCCAGACGATTCCCAGTATTTTCCGGGAGTCCACTGAGCTAGCACTAGATGTCGCACCCAAAGTGTGTTGGGTGTAGGATTCGTCTTCCGATACGACACCGCTGCCATTTGACTCAGTCTCTCTCTTCTCAGTAATGTCTTCGGCTTCACAGCTTCTAAGGTTCTCAGTCGACTTTATCCGATCCATCAGTTCCACCGAATTGCTGGCGAACTTCCGTAGGTTAAATCCTCCAGATAGCAGACTGGCTTTCGCTTTCTCATAGAAGTCATAGGCATCATCCGTAGTGTCGAAACAGACCGTCATGTCATCAACATATATAGATCTCATGAATCTCTCTGTGAAGGACAAGTCGCCATCCTTCGACATGTGGTGGTGTATTGTGGCGTTCAGTAGGAAGGGACTTGACGACACGCCAAATACTACTCTGGTGAATCGTAGCTCTACAACATCCAGTTCGGTATCTTCAATATCACGAACCCACAAGAAACGTAAGGCATCTTGGTCGGGCTTCTTTATGCCAACCATCAGGAAAGCCTTTTCAATGTCTCCAGTAAGGGCTACAGGCTTGCACCGGAATCTCAGCAGTATGTCAAGGATGTTTTCTAGAAGAGCAGGACCAACGTACAAGCAGTCATTTAAGGAGATTCCATGAGATCGACACGACGCATCATAGACAATCCTTAGTTTGGTTGTGTCCTTGTCACAACGTATGACTCCATGATGTGCCAGGTAGTGGATGGTAGACTCCTCAGTCTCATTCTCTATGGGAGTTACAGGTTCCACGATTCCTTGTTTCATCTGATCCCTCATCACTCGATCATACTCTCTCAGGATCTCAGGGGACATTCTCCTTAAGAGGTTCAATAATCTAGAGTGAGCAACATCCCTGTTGTCTGGTAATGGTGGATGTGGATCCTTCCACGGTAGCTCTACTTGATATCTTGTTCCATCAAACTCGACGGTTTCTTCAAAGTGTTCGTGGACACGGTCTTCGTTCGGCTTTATACCCAGGCTTTCGAGATTCCAGAACTGTTTCAGCGTCTCATTGAGGGGACCTTCATTTGAGACTTCAGTGCACAGATTAACATGAGTCATTAGGTTTACAGGGTATGGACCGTCAGCTTCATGTACAGGGCCTGACAACACCCACCCAAACTTGGTGTGTACAGCTGTTGGAGCGGATCAGTACTGGAGTGTTGTGACCGGAAGGGTTGTCAGAGGTGAAGATGGCCCAATCAGAATATCAACTTCAACAGTCTCATCTTTCTCACTGATTGTGTCACTAAGGTTAATGTCTCTAAGGTGTGGGAACATACTAAGGCACTTTCTCTGATCAACTACTCTCAGGGTGTCACAGATTGTTGGAACAACAAATGCTGTTAATTCGATCTCACCTCCAGTTTCATCAGTAGCATAGATCTTCACTCTAGGTGAAAACTGTGGATGACTGGTAGACTCCCCAAACGACTTTATATTTAGAGTCTGGCCCCCTATAACGGGTAGTTTTACTTCATCATGGACTTTGGTCGTTACGAACGACTGATGGCTACCAGTATCAAACAGCACTCTCACTCTGCGTCTTCCAACAGTTCCTCTTATCGTGGTAGCTGTCATCTGCAGGGCGGCTCTAGGCGCCCTCTCATTTTCAGAAGTGTGTAGGCTAGCCGTAGTGGATGGTACGGCTGTTCTCGATAGTCTGTTAGCATCGACTCGGGATGGCTCAACTTGTCTGTCAGGGAATTTCTTTTCTCTACACAGGCTCACATGATGTCGTTCCCCGCATTTGTTGCACTTCATATTCGATGGACACCTACTACTGATATGATTCCTTCGTAGGCAGACAAAGCATCGTCCAGCCCTCTTCAGTATCGAAAATCTCTCCCCTACATCAATCACATTCTTACAGGTGTGTGTTGGGTGAGACTGTCTGCAGAACGTGCAAGTCGGACCTTATCATCGCGTGTAAATAAGGCAGCAACAGTAGCTTTACCTTTCTGACCACTGGCATTTCCGGGACGAGCCGTCGTTCCAGTAGCACCATCAGGGATGTCAACCTCTGACCTCTGT